AATACAATGAAACATGTAACCAAAAATATATACAGGTTAATTTAACTTAACATAACATAACTGTAAAATATGGAGGACGACATAAAATCGATGTTTGCTAGCTAAAAAAAAGGACATTGTTACAGACAATAAAACGTCTTATTTAAAAAAAAAATCACTAAGTTAATAAAAACATGGCAACTTTAAACAAAGACAACGAACATCTAAAATATTAAAGCTAGACCATGAATGAAATGAGTACATTTTCCACGGACATAAAAAACCCCGTTACCTCCTTTTAATCCTCCATCACACTGAGGATCACAATCCTCCCTCTTTACGGCCCGTTTGTGTACCACTTCATGGCAGTAGATGACGTAGTTCAGCCAATTTAGAAGGGTTTTAACAGCCATTCTAACTATGTTACATAATCAATAGTGTAATACCACTGTAGTTTAGAAAGTATATTCAATAGAATAACACTGCAGATGCACAGATTGTATTTAATGTAATCAACCGAAATGCATGCATGTAATACTTGATACCACCACTGATATTGACCCAGAGACATTGGAAATCCGAGTTACATTGAACGCACCAGGAGAAGTCACATGCCCAGGTGCGTGGACACTGCCTTCCACACCTTTACTGACCTGTATAAATACCTGCAGGCCCCCATTGTTCTAGATTGGCTGGTGGAAGCAGGAGACACTCACTATGGGGAGTCAATGAGCTGCTCGGTGGCCTGTTGATTGTAGAAAGCAGCGGCTCCTCAGCTGAGATCTTCTTTTTAGCACAACGCCTTTTCTTTTGTTAAATACTTTTGATTTTAACTTTTCAAACCATGCTGTCTTCTGTCCGTCTGGAGTTTCTTCAGTTTTCAAACACAACACCCTCCAGATGATGGCGTCTTCTCACTCAGAGAGGGAAAGTTTTGGACAATAAGGTGTTCTTCAGAGCTCTGTGTCGGAGTACTTGAGTATTTATTCACTGTGACAAAGTAGCTTCAGAACGAGGAACCAGCGGGTTTGAAACAGTTCTTCATATTCAATTAAAACAAGTGTCTATGTGGGAGCTTTGTTCATGAAAGGATTTGTTTTCTGTCTTCTAGAATATCAACATTTCATATTTAACATGTCATTTAACTTTTATTTACACGTTTAACCCATGGCTTTTTTTTTTACAATATTGCCTGGGAAGCACTTAGGGGTTAGTTGTCTTGCTCTGGGACATTTTGACATGGAGCAGCTGGGGCTCAAACCACCAACCATGTGGTTGCTGGCGCAGCAGCTCTACCCCTCTGCCACTGTTAGCCCTCGTTTGTATGAATTAAATCAAGTTGTTCCTGAAATGTCATGTTCAAATATGTAAATGAGGCATTATGTAACTAGTAAATTTACGAGAAATCTAGACGGACAAAGTAGTAAAATAAATGAGTCTGAAATAAAGAAAAATACATTGATTGTAAATGAAAAGTTTAATTTAGGTGAAAGTCCTTTAAATGAAAGCAGCTTGACATTATTGTCCTAAAAAACTCCTCATAAAATCAACTTAAACACTTTCCAGTTGAATTCAACAAACAAACACTGTTTATACTCTTAGACCAGTGATTCC